CGAATTTTTATCTTTGCCATGTCCTGCGAGTTGCACTGAACATTCATTTTCCTTGAGCACAGTGGAAACTTGAGTGCTGAACCGCAGTGTCTTCTCTTGCGAAAGGTGATAATCAAAGTTTGAATTATTTGAAGAGCTTATTTGATATTCACTATCAAAATTATAAGATTGACTAGATTGAGAGTGATAAAGTGATTCATAATCAGGTTTAGTATTAAGAGGAAGTTGAATCGTAATAGTTTGTTGATGAACTTTAGACGAACTTTGTTGGGTGTCCTTTGGACTAAAATTTTCTGTTGTATTGTAGATTGGATGAAACGAATCACTGTGATTTAACATATCTGGTTGATGATGTTGACTATTTGAGTAATTCATACAATCAAGATTTGTATAACTGAGACCATTTTCAGAAGATATGATGCTTGTACTTTCATCAGGCATAACACTCGAAGGTGACGGATAGTATATCTGAGAAAAAGATTCGGAAGTTGAAACTGATTCTGGATTCAAAAAGCCATCAGAAGATGATGTGTATGGCACAATGGCTGATTGTGAGTAATTATGGTGATTGGTTAATTCTGACGGTTCTATTATCCGAACATTATCATCTGCAGCTGTTAAAAGATGAAAAGTATTTTGAAAACCATAGAAAGAATCGGGCTTGCTATTGTAAGTCCCATACATGCCTAAATCCATTCTAATCATTCTTATATCGAAATAAAGTCATCAATGCTTTTTTTACCGTCTTCTATAATAGTAGTAAGAAGGTTCTCAAAATTATAAGCCATATCATGATTGTTTTAGTAATAAAAACAATTTAATAATATTCACTTTCAAAAGCACATTTTTACTAAGTTTATTCACATATTTATATCACTTTAAAAGGACAAATAATCATTGATGCCGAATCAAAATATCCGTGTAAACTAAAATAACTGATTGTGACCGTTCAGCGCCAGCCCCTGACGTATACTGTAGCCTGACGCAGGTGAAAACACTCATGAGGACGGGTGTATAGCGAACACCTCTCAACTATAAAATCTCTATATTTTATCCTCTATCCTCCTCTTACTCTTGATAGATACCGTACATTTTATTCTTGTTCTCTAGGGTAAGGCCCTCGTTTGCCTGCATGAATCAACAACGTGAGGCGTGTCTTGGTCACCATCACGTGATC